ATGAATATCAGCAAATTCAGACTGGATATGAGTCCGTTTACGTACATAGTGGAGGGGCTTCATGCACGTATGGGAACAAAAAGTTTCTTGTCTTGGAAGAAGACCTTAAGTTTTCATTATCATCAAGGTGCAAATAAAGATAACTTTGGAATTCTGAATGGAAAACCATTGTATTAAACAATTTTGAGGTTTTCTTCCTTTTCATTAAAAAAATTCTTGGCAATACAGAAAGGGATCGTTAAAACATTTGTAACCAATCACACAAATTCATTAAGCACTTAAAAGACATTTGATCTGCACAATGTATAAACTATAAAGCAGTTATGTGGAATGATTCAAATGGCAAAGTGGTATACCTTAGTATAAGCATAAACCCCCGCCTCGGTTGGTCCCGGAGGACTTCCTCTCCTGATAAACCTCCCTTCTTTGAATATGTAAAGCATGGGTATCCCAGTTGCTAGTTCTAAGCTAATTACCTAATGAACATATGACAAACTCTCTGTCAGAAACAAATCAAAGTGAAATAAATCAGGCACAAACCCAATAAGAGTGAATTCTCACCTCTTGGGAAGTTAGTTTGTCAAGGTACATAATGATAGACCTCAATGAATTCCCATGGGCAGCAATCATTACATTCTTTCCAGATAGAAGTTGGGGCTCGATCTGCCACATCATTTTTCCAAGGTCAGCGTATAGTGAACAATAGCAAAATTAAACAAAGGAAATACGCAAATCATCTTCCTTACTTGTTCTTTAAAGTAAGCAACTGCTCTTTGAGCACACATTTCCAAACTCTCACCATTCGGTGGAGGTGTGTCATAACTACGACGCCATTCATGAACTTGTTCTTTTCCATATCTATCCGCTGTTTCCTGCTTGTTAAGACCCTGTAATTCCCCATACCTGAATAAGAGGAGCACTTCATGTGTCATGTGCATGGAACCATACAGCGCGGATACCATGCAGGAGGCATAACCAGAAAAGCAGAAATAGAGAAATAATTACATTCTTTCATTCAGCTGCCAAGCTGTTTCCACCGGAATACACTGTTTTTTTGTCTCTTCGCTGAAAATTTGACTCCATGCCTTTGCCTGTTCACTCTCATTATGCATAATGATTGGCACCTGCAGGCAGGAGGTCAAATTTAACCAAAAGGTTTTGGTTTGTTAACGTATTAAAGCTAATATATAACCTAAACTAAGCAAAACCTCCATTTCCTCTATTAACTCAAACAATATTCATCACGTACATTCATATAGACCAATTTAAAGGGACGCAGTCCTGCTTGGTAGCAAAGATGTCACAAATGGTTTCAAATCCCGTTATAACTACCAATTGCTTCTTACACTGCTTAGCATTATCCATGAGATATATAATCAGTTCCCAAGATTTGGAATCCCCATTAGAGGTAAAAAAGTAAGATCTAACATTGATAACATGTTCCCCTTAAAAAAAAAACATTGACAACATGTCTCCGCACATTACCTTCTTGCGACGGTGCTGTGTCATGGCAAGCATAGCAGTCATCTGTGCACGAATCAACGCAGATGTGTAGATCATGTCGACAGGTATGTTGCTGATCTTCTTACCAGCTTCAATAGCCTCTTCAATACCCTTCTTGGTTAATGGTACATCGACACAACCTGTGAACAAGTTCTTTTCATTCCATAGAGACTCCCCATGTCGAATCAAAATCAAAGCGGCTTCATCTGAAAGGAAACAAAAACAGCAATTAGGAAGATACAGTAAGAGAATCATTTCACTCTCTGAATTATGAGGAAATATAAGTTCGACATTCACTTAGAACAACTTGGTTATGCTCAGGGAAACTTTCATTACTATGTGATCTTAGTAGAATATAGGGCAACTGGCTTACTTGTTTTCTTTTTGGGTTCATTATTACTGGATGGAGATAAAACTGGGTTGAGTACAGTAGTCTGAGAAGTCGAGGATCGAATTACACTAAAACTCCTCTTTCTAGAGCAGTAACTTCCTCCTCTCAAAAGTCCGACATTGATCTTGAATCCCTTGGATATCAACCTCACCGAAGCATTCCCACACTCCTGAGGAAAGCCATAATTATTGAAGCATCCATGAAACTGAAGAGTCCGAAATGCTTGGTGGGATGCAGTTGCAGCCATTCTGAAAACCAGCCAATTCCCAAGCAATGATATAAGATAATATATTATACAAACAAGTGACTCCCATTTCATGAAGTAATTGAACAATCAAAGTATAAAGACTCCAGCACATACTTCAGCGCTTTTAAGGATTGATGAGAAAAATGTATCCAATCGAAGTACAATTAGGTCCAAGTTGAAGTAAGTTCTCAGATACAAAATCAGCTGTATATGTTTCTACTTTCTACTGTCCCACAATTAAGGAAGGAGCAAAAATAATTAAAAAAAAAAAAACCTAAACATTTAGAGAATTGGAGAAGCTCATCATCCCATAACTATGAAGCATGGATACTTCACGGGATGACGTATCCGTATCTGATGCGGATATACATCGGATACTAATACTCGTCGAATATTTGCGGATATTTATTAGATACTTTCTGCACGTATCAAATAATTAATAAAATAGTTAACATTGCTGGATGCTTGTCAAATACTCCTCGGATATAGTGGATGCATTCATTTAATACTAAGTGAGGTGGGTTGTGTAGAAACCATGAATCATATAAATGGGGATTCATTGTTCCAAGATGTTCATTTGGACTTGCATCACATATGTTACAAGATTTGTCAATTTTTTTTACAATTTGCTTGCTTGAATAATGAGTTTTTATGGGTTATGTCAAAATCAATGAAGTCTGTTGCAGTTAAATACTAAGTAAAAGTTCAGGAGCCTCGAAGGATTACACATATTCAGCTTTAGAATTGCATAGAACATTGGATTCAAAACACCATTTACCAGTACCTAAATCAGCAAAATAACTTGTTTTAGTTTGAGATGTGTTTAATCTCTTAATGCCGCATATTCCTAGTATAATATATTTTTAGATTTTGTTATATCCATATCGTGTCGTACCCATTTCTCGTATCTTACAATGGGTCTTACAAACTAATGCACTTACTAGATGAAAATAAGCTTACTAATTCAACAACACCTGCATATGTTTTTGCACAAACTGACAAGCGACATAAAAAAAGGGGAAAAAGAAACAAGAGAAAGAAGAAAAAATAATGTAAATTAAACAAGCTCTTAATCAGATAATCAAATGTTTTATGCACTAAGAAAGCTAAGTAACCACTGAATCAATAGTCAGTTAGGTTAATTACAGACAATCAAACAAATTTCAAGGTGCATCCTCAATTTCAATCATACTTGCATTAGAGAATAAGCTCACATAGTTTCGAAAACTATGATTTTCAATCAGTAATCCAAACCCGTATTACACCCACAAAAGCTATATTTGACAAAAAAAGAAACAAAACACACACACACAAACAGAAAATCAAAGAGCTACCCATCACCAAGAAGAAACGAAATAACAACCCATCACCCTAATACTAAAGACTAACCAACAATCAAACAAAACCAATTTCAGATCCAAGTGAAGTTTTTAAAAGAAATTTCCCAATGTCAGTAGGATATGTCTATTATGCATCTATGTAATGGAGAAGATCAAACCAAAAAGTTAAGAAATGGGTATTCCAGAACAGCAATGGAAAGAACAACCCATGTGCATAGATTAAACAAATCTTACATGAACATGCAACAGAGAGAAAATACAGCAAAAAAGCACAAAAATCAAACAGTTTGTCAAGCAATGAAGAAGATGTGAAGAGAGATCTTACATTATTTATAGGCCAAAATACTGATATTTGGTGTCGCGACCAAACCGAAGAGGCTGAGATGAAAATGCTACGTGCTGATTAATTAAGGGGCAGAGTTTATTACGAGAAAAGCTGACGGAGAACAAGATGATGGTTGATGAAAGTGACGATGCCAGTTACACACAAGTTACGTGTTCTTCAATTCAACTGACAAAAACCAGGTTGAGAGAGAGATAGAGGTGTATACTTCGCAGAAATCAAAATTGGTTCCAAAAAGAACCCAAAAAATGACAAGTTTTTCTTGTCTTTCTCTGCCACAGTTGGCAAAATGGTATTTCTATCCGACAGGTAACTTTGGGGTCGCTGGTAGCTGGTTGAGAGTATCTTCAATAGAATCTGGAATATGATTAAGGTTATCGACAGCTAATTTATTAATTTAATTTATTATAATTTTTAGATTTAATGTAGATTTTATCAAATATTGAAATTTGAGGTTGATATAATGATTTCAATGAAATAATATTATTAGATCAATAAATTATGTTAAATTTATTGATTCAAATAACAATATTCACTCTCTATTTTAGAGAGTCAACCGTTTTACAAACAACTTACTCTCTATTATAATTTTTTGAAATAGAAAATGTATTTTGTATTTTCATCAAAGGCATTCAGAATAAAATATATCTCAATGTTCTTTATATTCAAACTAATTTTTTTTTCTTTCGTCAACGTCGAATGAGATTTCTTTGAAGAAGCTTTTCCCGATCAAACTACACAAGCACAACATCAAGATAAGAATATTAATTAATTTCTTATAGTTGTTTTTCTGGTTAATTGATACTCTATTAATTTCATATCAACTATTCACAGTTAGAAACGGGATCGAAGGAAATGGGGGTAAATAAAATATTCTAAGTTTGGTTAAAGAATGGATGGAAAAAAAGAGAGGAAATCAAATTTATTCCTAACAAAGTAAGCATAAAATAATAAATTGATAAGAATAAAGAGTCTTGTTGGAGTGGTATACAAAATTTTAATATTTAATTTAATTTTTTGTCAAAGATTCTCTTTATTTTAAAAAGATGTTATCTATTTTAGAGGATACTGTTAGAGATGCTCTAATTTTGACTTAGGGTTATTAATTTATTCGCCTTGTATCTCGTAAAATTTATTTTAATTTATATATATACTTTTTATACTTGTATTATGCAGAAAAAAATTCACACAAGAAGTCACCACCTCATACGGACAAATATGATGAAGAGGAAAACTTAGGTGAATCGATGTCGGAGGAGGTTAAAGGAACTCCGATGCTTAAGTTAGATCACAAGGCAAAGATTAGTATGAAGTGAATATGTTAGGATTGAATGTCCTTATTTGATGCCCAAAGGCTTTTATTTATAGTGATAAGAAGTTGTATCCGCAAGAAACTCGAACTCTATATTATGATAGAATCAACCTCATCATTAGGTCCTCAAAGTTTGAAATAGTGTTAGACTATGACTATTGTTCCTAGGTGCCTTATCACTGACTCTTGGATGTTCAAAGTAGTATTAGACTAGGACTCTTGGTCCTACGTTGAACCTTAGTTTAGTAAGACTCGTCTAGTGGAAGTAGGCAATCAAAGAGTGATAGAAAGTTACCTCCCAAGTTCGTGGTTAGCTAGCTGTTCGACTGGCAGGGTCCTCTTTGGAGGGCTATCGATCGACTAGGCCTTCCTTGATGTGTGCTGGTTGGCACTTGCCTAATAAGAGACCTGGGGTGGCCCAAAACAACTTGATAAGTTGCCACAGGAAGAACATAATAGTCAACAGTGATAGGTATACCTTGGATAATGAGCGTGAGCCCGTGACATTGGCCTGTGCATTCGGCCCTTTCCCTATTTACAACCACCACTTGTAGCTTCTTATCCCGGATAATCGGCAAGCCGACTCAAGAAATAATGTGTTGATCAATGAAATTGTGGGTACTACCCCTGTTAATCATCACCATCAAGCTTTTGTTCTTCAACTTTCCCAAAACTCGGAGGGTTTGGGGATGTTTGACGCCAACAATTGCATGAAAAGAGATTTCAGGTAGTAGTTCCCGAGTTTTTGCTTCCTGAGGTGGCTCCTCCATGTGTGGTGCATCGTCACTCATGAATAATTGGGGACGTTCACACCGATGGCCCATAGAGTATTTTTCATCACAATAATAGCATAGGCCTTTCTCTCGGCGTTCCCGCGCCTCCTGGTTGGTGATTCGACGAAAAGGCGAGGACGGTGCTTTGGATCCCATTCCTAAGCATTGGCTGGTCTTGGTCCCAGAATTCCCATAGATGGGTTGGGGTTTCCTCTTGGAAGTGGGGCCCCTGATTGCATTCTATTGATGGGGGTATGTCGCCGTTGGAGCTGGTTTTGCTCATTAACCAATCGAGTAAGTCCAATGGTGTCCGCCACGGTCTGGGGTTGCTTAATCTTGACATCCAAGCAGATGTCCTCCCTAATTTTTATTTTATTTTTAACCCCGAGCTAGCGATGCATGGAGCATCGCCCTCGGATGTCATCCCTTTTAAGCCAACAATGAAACACCCGATTAGAAAATTTTCTGGTAATTTATCTACTCGATGAGAGAGACTTTCAAAGGCCTCTTGATAAGTCGCAACTGTTGTAGTTTGCTTCAAACGGGACAAGGCTTCCGAGGGGTCTTCGAATTCGGTAGGACCAAAGCGAAGCATGACTGCCTTGGTGAGTTCCTCCCAGGTAGGAGGTTCCCAAAATTTTGTATGCCAACGATGCCACTGTAGTGCAATGCCCACCAAGTGAAAAGAGGCGAGTTGCACCCGCTGATCAGCTCCAATGTCTTCGTATTCGACGTATTGCTCAACCTTGTTGATCCACCCCATTGAATTTTCTCCATTAAACTTTTGAAACTACATCTTAAGTGAAAATGGTGGTGAATGGTTGTAGCTAGCAGCAGACAGTGTCGTGTGGATGGTGCAAGGATCCCTCATGAGGGGATTAACTTCTGGTAGACAAGTGTGGGAGCTTCTAGTGGAGCGCAGAGCGTGTATTTCTATCAAGATTGTCTGCAGGGTTGTATTCACTTGATCGAAGTTCGACTCATGACATGCTAATGCTTCATTCATTTCATTGCAAAATTTAGCGTTCGTCTTCCCATGAGTATCTATGACACCAACTTGGCTCTGATACAAAATGATATGTTTGAATTTGGAGAGGAGGAAGAAAGAAGGAGACGGAGAAAAGATAAGAGAGCGAGGAAAACTTGAATTAGTTTGATGACCATTTATTGGGTTTCATGTGGCTATATTTATAGCCAATACAACAACGAAAAATACAAGTGCAGCAACTAAAAGAGAGAAAATCAAGAGAATAACAGTAAACTAGGTAATGGCTAAAGAATAGGAACAAATAGCAACAGACTAGATAATTTGCTAAAGAATAGGAACTGTATTTAGACTCCTTCAACATGGGCTTACTAGGTGGCCTCCACACAAGAAAATGGCAGGTTAGAGTATGTAAGAGCAACTCCAAAGGGAGTTGCCATTTTGGGGTGCCAAATTACTCATTTGCAACCTTGAATAGTGTTTTAACACTCCTATATTATAAATTTGCTCCAATGGCAAATGTCAAAATAGGGTATTATTTTCATATTTTTATTCATCAATCTATATGAATCATTGGATCTATATTCATCTAACGGATCTATATTCATCTAACGGATCTATATTCATCAACTCATTTGCAACCTCTTCCTCTCTCTCTCCAGAGTTACCAAAAATGTCACCCCAAGAGCCTTGATGCTATTTTCCAACCCCATATGTCAGCCCCCTTGGAGCTTAAAATTTTGAATTTGGGGTGGCATATGGGGTTGCCACCCCTATATGCCACCCCCTTAGAGCTGCTCTAAGAGTAACTCCAAAGGGAGATGCCATTTTGGCGTGCCAAATTACTCATTTGTAACCTTAAACAATATTTTGGCACCCCTAAACTATAAATCTGCTCCAATGACAGGTACCAAAATGGGATGCCATTTTCATATTTTTATTCATCAATCTATATGAATCGTTAGATCTATATTTATCTAACGGATCTATATTCATCAACCTATTTGCAACCTTTCCCTTTTTCTCTCCAAAGTTGTCAAAAATGCCAAGCCTTGATGATATTTTTCAACCCCATATGTCACCCCCTTTGGAGCCCAAAATTTTGAATTTGCGGTGGCATATGGAAATGCCATCCCCATATGCCACCCCCTTGGAGTTACTCTAACATAATATGGTATGGTTACATCATTTTTAGACACACTTATTTCAACTAGAGACTTGAGAATCCGAAATGAAATGAGAGAGGGTTTCTGGTTTTGATGCGAATGGGAGAATGAAAGGCTTTGGCTTCGGAGGTGAGCCGGACAGAGATTCTTTAATTGCAATATTGGGTTTTGATGAAGGAAGTGTAGTATGGTCTGAGTGATTACTATGATGGACGGCATAGGAATTGGCAGACAGCCACTCGAAGGAACACTTGTTGATATGGAGGGTGTCGCAGCACTTGCCGAAACATCCACCGTTGTCGATGATGTCGCTGTACTTAATGCTGATGAAGATGACACCGTTGGAGATGACACTGAAATGCTAACTCGAGTTTCAAAAGAAGGGGGAAGAGTCGCCAGAGGTGGAACTGTAGTAGACCCACTGGACGATGGAATTGGACCAGAGAAATGGCAGTCGGCGATGTACTTGTCGCCGGTGTTGGCAGATTTTTTGCGTACTATTTTTAAAAGGAGAAATCTTTTAGTGTCAATTAAAGTAAAAGATCCAAAATTTATGCAAATTTTAAAAGATAATGTTTCAAACTTAAGTTTAAAATTCAAAATTTATGCAAATTAGATATGGTAATTGTTTTCCAAACATATTTAGAAACTATTTAAACATTAAAAAATTGCATTAAGGATTCTTTATTAATAAATAATAATAATAATAAATGACTTAACTACTTGCTAAAAAGTTAATAATATAACTTATTATAAATATGTTTAAATGATGGACTTAACTCATTAAAAGTCTAGAAAAGAGAACTTGTCCTCAATTATCATTTGAGTTTTTTCAAAGGTCACTGTAGACATTAAGAAATTAGTAAATAAAAGTTTATAATTGAACTCAAATCAATTAGATAAATAAAATTGGATTGAACCTAAATTCCATAACCTAAATAATACAAGCCCAAATTTAATAAATAAGGCTTGTAAAATTAAATTAAATTGGACCTAAATTTCATAACCTAAATAATACAAGCTCAAATGCAATTAATTAGACTTTTAAATTAAGACTTAAATTTCATAGGCCCAAATTAAATAAACTTTCAAAAGGTAAAGTGGTTTGGACTTAAATTCTATAAATTAATTAAAGCCTACAAATTTATGGGTAGCTCACTACCTAAAACCTATATAAAAGTAATAAGGACTCTTGTATGGATAATTATCACTCTTATATAAATAACTACTCCTAGCACTATAAATAGAGGTATAGGGGAAGGCCAAAAACGAAAAAAGAGAAGAAACCAAGAAGGAATGAAGATCAGCGAAACTCTGCTCAAAGTTTACTAAAGCCTCAAAGTCTTGCAAATTCATCTCCGGGAAGAAGAACACACTGCCAAGGTCCTTCTTTAAGAAATTCAAATCATCTTCAAGCCATTCCAAAATGAAGAACGGTGAGAAGATTCATCAAAAACATCATCAAATTGAAGAGCAGAAGATACATTGATTCAACTCTCATTTTCATCAAAGCCACCAATTGAAGAGTGAGAAATATGTCAATCAGGCCCTCATCTTCACCAAATTCATCAACTTCATCAAATTCACCGAGAATCAGAGGATAGTGCACGTGAGAAGAACGTCAAAGAGAGTTAACACTACATTTATTTTACTTAAATTCAATCAAATTGATTATTGTTACTTGACCTTATTTTGTGTTAATTTAATTAATTTCACGAAATTTGTCGTTACAAATTTTGGCACGCCTGGTGGGACCCTCTCTTCCTCTCATCTCTCAAGTCAAAAATTCAACATGCCTGACAACAATGACAACTAAAGACATCGTGATTCCTCCCATCGAAAAGTCAGCGAACCTGGTCGAGGAGTCAATTCCAACAACCTGTGCCTGAACAAAGGCGAGTAAATCTCAATTTTTACCACCGATGGAGCATCGATCTAGGCAAAACAAAAGGAAGGCTCTTCTAAGCAGAAAGAGACAACCTGCTCATTCTTCTATTGAATTGGAGGAAGAGACAGTCGATTCTTTGCTCAACATATACTCCAGCACAGGCTCGAAGACTGAATCTTACTTTGAGATTTTTCCTAAGCAGAAGTGGGGAGATTTTTCCTCAGCCTCCGATATGCCTATGCCTGTGATGGTGACAGAAGCCACATCATCTGAAGAACATCTTCAATAAGTCACTTCTATAGTCGAGAGGTTGACCAAGGACCTTGAAGGTAAATAAATAAAAATCGCCACACTCATGAACCGACTTGAATTGCAAGAACCTTCAAAAAGAAACAGTCAAGAAACTTTAAGTCTATCTGGTACTAAAATGCTAGAAAATACAAAGTTTTTAGAACAAGAGCAATATGATCGAGCCATGACACAAAATGCCATGCAAGATTCTTCACAAATGTCTGTTGCCGCACTCTCTGTCCAACAACTACAACATATGATTGCTGATACTATTTGAGCCCAATATGGAGGAGCTCCCCAGTCTTCGTTGGTATATGTGAAGCCATATACCAGATGAATTGATGAGATACAAATGCCAATAGGCTACCAACCCCTGAAGTTTCAACAGTTTGATGGAAAAGGCCACCCGAAATAGCATGTTACCCATTTCATTGAAACATGCAATAATGCTGGTACCTATGACAACCTGATGGTAAAGCAATTTGTTTGTTCTCTCAGAGGGGTTGTGTTTGACTGATACACTGATCTAAAAGCTAGGACTATCGACAACTGGGACCACCTTGAACGNCTGGTACCTATGACAACCTGATGGTAAAGCAATTTGTTTGTTCTCTCAGAGGGGTTGCGTTTGACTGATACACTGATCTAAAAGCTAGGACTATCGACAACTGGGACCACCTTGAACGGGAATTCCTCACTCGATTCTATAGCACCCGATGAACGGTAAGTCTTCTGGAACTTGCAGGAACAAAGCAAAGAAAAGACGAACCTGTCATTGATTACATTGAACGTTGGAGGAGTCTTGTTCTCAATTACAAGGAACGTATTAGTAAATCCTCTTTGATTGATATGTGTGTCTAAGGGATGCATTGGGGACTACTCTACAGTCTCCAAGGAAACATGTCCCAAACATTTGAAGAACTTGCAACATGAGCCCATGACTTGGAGATTCAAATTTTCAGGCACGAAAGTTACTTTCTTAGTTACCCTCGTGAAAAGAAAGACGTAAAGAAAGATGTGAAAGCCTCCAAATCAAAAGAGTCTTTCGTAATCTCCACTACACCGATGAAGATATTTGATAAAAAAATCAAAGAAAAACTGNTCGTGAAAAGAAAGACGTAAAGAAAGATGTGAAAGCCTCCAAATCAAAAGAGTCTTTGGTAATCTCCACTACACCGGTGAAGATATTTGATAAAAAAATCAAAGAAAAACTGCCAAGTCAAATTTAATCAAGATCAGACTCAAAAGAAGACAAGACCAAGTTTGAAAGAACTTGAAGAGAAGAAATATCCCTTCACTGATGATGAAGTGTTAGATATTTTTGATCAGCTACTCGAGTTAAAGCTTATTGAGCTTCCAACACCCAAGCGGCCAGAAGAATCTGGAATGGTTGATAATCCAAAGTATTATAAATATCATAAGATTATTAGTCATCCCCTTGAAAGATGTTTTATCTTGAATGAAAAGATTTTTCGTTTATTGAACGAGAAAAAAATTAAGCTCGATTCTAGCAAAGAAATGAAAGCTACAAATGTGACAATGGTCACGTTTGGGTCCTTATACCCTATACCAATTCCAAACAAATGAGCACAATCATCACCTCTGATACATCCTAAAGAATCATCACAACTGTTGAATTCTTCTATCTCTATAGAAGAAACACTGTTAATCGAAAGTAAGGAACTTACTGTTCCTCTTCCTGAAGGAGTTGTGCAAGTACAAGTAATTGTTGATGATGAGATAACAATGGTGTATGCATACTCAGGTATGCCAAGGTATAAAAACCCCAACATTCCAACACTTTATGAACTCATGACAGATGATTTAGATATTTGACCATCATCATCTGAATCAGAAGATGAGATAGGGGATGGCTGGTCAACCTTTGTCAGCAAAAAGGATAAATATCGAATCTCGATTACTAACACAAAGTCATCTAATCTACTAGGTGACTCAGACCTCATGTTGGGAGCACCTATTTTGGATCTCAAACCAAGTGGATAGCCTCCTTTGGATGATTTTGTGGCTGCTGAAGAAGATTTGGGAGAATGGACTATGGTGAAACCTCGTAGGATGCGTAAGCGACAACATTCATCTCCTTCAACTAACAAGAAAAAACACCCCAAAACAAAAAGGAGATCTCATTCTTGCCGAAATCAAAGATGTGGAGGAAAAAAAAGAGTGTCTTCCTAGCTGACAATCATTGATGATGAAGACTATAATTTATGTTCTCACACACATATAAAATTGATGGAATATTTTCCCAAGTAATTCTTTACAAGGGAATCAATTATATCTTATGTGATCAGTGCTTGTGAAGAAAATGCATAATTGATGCTCCACTAAATAAAGATTCAGATGCCAAAAATGCTTAAAAAGAGGTATCGACAGATGAAGAAGAAATGATTGCAAGGTTCAGAGAAATTCCATCAAACCTAAGTCTTCCCGAGACATTTGAATTACCCGAAGAAACACAACAAATGTTGGTACAAACTTTGGCCAACTCGGAAAAATTCAAAAAGAAGATCTTAACTGTTGTTGACCAAGTTAGTCAATCCGATTGCATGACAACGATTTCGTTCACTGATGAAGATTTGCAGTTAGGATCTCTCTTCCACAATAGACTCCTTTACGTGAGCGGGTTTATTTGACATTATAAAATATTTTGTATATTGATTGATTGTGGATCGGCTGTCAACATCATGCCAATTCGCATCATGAAGCAACTTAGAATCTCTATGGATGAGTTGTCAAAAAGTAAACTAACAATTCAAGGCTTTAATCAACGGGGGCAACGTGCCATTGGTATGATTCACCTTAAGTTCGAGATTGGAGAATTGATGTCTTTTGATCTTTTCCTTGTCATCGACTCTAAAACATCTTATGAGTTACTATTGTGGCAACCTTGGTTACATGAGGCAGGAGTTGTGCCATCAACATTACACCAATGCTTTAAATATTATCATAATGGAGAAGTGAGACAAGTCGTTGTTGAGACCAAACCTTTCTCAATAGAAGAATCTCATTTTGCAGATGCTAAATTCTACTCTGAAGCCAAGCTTATCACAAAAGCACTTTTTAGTACCATACCAAAGATCAAATTATCAATAGAAAAATAAGAACAATTGTCAATAGATGACATCAAATACTTGAAGAATGAAATGACCTTACCAGTAACTCAATTATCAAAACTGATGATTTCTGATCCATCATTGAAGGGCTTCACAAAACCTTCTATAGTAGGAGAAGGAAAAGATTGTAAAGAAGGTTGGTTTGATCCTCATGTTAAGAAAATCTTTGAAAATTAAAGTTATGGTAAATGTGAACCATGCCAACTTGGGAAACTCGATCTAGTCCTTTCAAGGGAGAAAACTGACAAGTCGACGATACCACAAAAGGTTGCTAAAGGAGAGACCTCTGTACAACATAAATTCAGGATATGATAT